GTCTGGGAGCGTTATATGGAACGCTGCTCCCCGTGTTACTGTCTGGGGGCGTTATACGGAGCGCTGCTCCCTGTCTAACCGTCTGGGGGCGTTATACCGAGCGCTGCTTCCCGTGTTACCGTCTGGGGGCGTTATACCGAGCGCTGCTCCCCGCGTTACCGTCTGGGGGCGTTATACCGAGCGCTGCTCCCCGCGTTACCGTCTGGGGGCGTTATACCGAGCGCTGCTCCCAGCGTTACCGTCTGGGAGCGTTATACCGAGCGCTGCTCCCAGCGTTACCGTCTGGGGGCGTTATACCGAGCGCTGCTCCCAGTGTTACCGTCTGGGGGCGTTATACCGAGCGCTGCTCCCCGTGTTACCGTCTGGGGGCGTTATACCGAGCGCTGCTAACCGTCTGGGAGCGTTATATGGAACGCTGCTCCCCGTGTTACCGTCTGGGGGCGTTACACGGAGCGCTGCTCCCTGTCTAACCGTCTGGGGGCGTTATACGGAGCGCTGCTTCCCGTGTTACCGTCTGGGGGCGTTATACCGAGCGCTGCTCCCCGCGTTACCGTCTGGGGGCGTTATACCGAGCGCTGCTCCCCGCGTTACAGTCTGGGGGCGTTATACTGAGCGCTGCTCCCCGCGTTACCGTCTGGGGGCGTTATACCGAGCGCTGCTTCCCGCGTTACAGTCTGGGGGCGTTATACCGAGCGCTGCTCCCCGTGTTACCGTCTGGGGGCGTTATACCGAGCGCTGCTCCCCGTGTTACCGTCTGGGGGCGTTATACCGAGCGCTGCTCCCCGTGTTACCGTCTGGGAGCGTTATACCGAGCGCTGCTCCCCGTGTTACCGTCTGGGGGCGTTATACCGAGCGCTGCTCCCCGCGTTACAGTCTGGGGGCGTTATACGGCTGCTAACCGTCTGGGGGCGTTATACCGAGCTCTGCTCCCCGTGTTACCGTCTGGGGGCGTTATACCGAGCGCCGCTCCCCGCGTTACCGTCTGGGGGCGTTATACCGAGCGCAGCTCCCAGTGTTACCGTCTGGGAGCGTTATACCTAGCGCTGCTCCCCGCGTTACCGTCTGGGGGCGTTATACCGAGCGCTGCTCCCCGCGTTACCGTCTGGGGGCGTTATACCGAGCGCTGCTCCCCGTGTTACCGTCTGGGGGCGTTATACCGAGCGCTGCTCCCCGTGTTACCGTCTGGGGGCGTTATACCGAGCGCTGCTCCCCGTGTTACCGTCTGGGGGTTTTGCGCCACGGCGCTGCTCGATGTTACCGTCTGGGAGGCGTTACTGGCCGCTGCGCTCCCGATGTTACCGTCTGGGGAAGCGTTATACCGGCGCTCCCAGCGTTACAGTCTGGGGCGTTATACGGCGCTGCTAACCGTCTGGGAGCGTTATATGGAACGCTGCTCCCCGTGTTACCGTCTGGGGGCGTTACACGGAGCGCTGCTCCCTGTCTAACCGTCTGGGGGCGTTATACGGAGCGCTGCTTCCCGTGTTACCGTCTGGGGGCGTTATACCGAGCGCTGCTCCCCGCGTTACCGTCTGGGGGCGTTATACCGAGCGCTGCTCCCCGCGTTACAGTCTGGGGGCGTTATACTGAGCGCTGCTCCCCGCGTTACCGTCTGGGGGCGTTATACCGAGCGCTGCTTCCCGCGTTACAGTCTGGGGGCGTTATACCGAGCGCTGCTCCCCGTGTTACCGTCTGGGGGCGTTATACCGAGCGCTGCTCCCCGTGTTACCGTCTGGGGGCGTTATACCGAGCGCTGCTCCCCGTGTTACCGTCTGGGAGCGTTATACCGAGCGCTGCTCCCCGTGTTACCGTCTGGGGGCGTTATACCGAGCGCTGCTCCCCGCGTTACAGGTCTGGGGGCGTTATACCGAGCGCTGCTCCCAGTGTTACCGTCTGGGGGCGTTATACCGAGCGCTGCTCCCCGTGTTACCGTCTGGGGGCGTTATACCGAGCGCTGCTAACCGTCTGGGAGCGTTATATGGAACGCTGCTCCCCGTGTTACCGTCTGGGGGCGTTACACGGAGCGCTGCTCCCTGTCTAACCGTCTGGGGGCGTTATACGGAGCGCTGCTTCCCGTGTTACCGTCTGGGGGCGTTATACCGAGCGCTGCTCCCCGCGTTACCGTCTGGGGGCGTTATACCGAGCGCTGCTCCCCGCGTTACAGTCTGGGGGCGTTATACTGAGCGCTGCTCCCCGCGTTACCGTCTGGGGGCGTTATACCGAGCGCTGCTTCCCGCGTTACAGTCTGGGGGCGTTATACCGAGCGCTGCTCCCCGTGTTACCGTCTGGGGGCGTTATACCGAGCGCTGCTCCCCGTGTTACCGTCTGGGGGCGTTATACCGAGCGCTGCTCCCCGTGTTACCGTCTGGGAGCGTTATACCGAGCGCTGCTCCCCGTGTTACCGTCTGGGGGCGTTATACCGAGCGCTGCTCCCCGCGTTACAGTCTGGGGGCGTTATACCGCGGCGCTGCTCAGCGTTACAGTCTGGGGGCGTTATACCGGCGCTACTTACTAACCCGTCTGGGAGCGTTATATGGAACGCTGCTCCCCGTGTTACTGTCTGGGGGCGTTATACGGAGCGCTGCTCCCTGTCTAACCGTCTGGGGGCGTTATACCGAGCGCTGCTTCCCGTGTTACCGTCTGGGGGCGTTATACCGAGCGCTGCTCCCCGCGTTACCGTCTGGGGGCGTTATACCGAGCGCTGCTCCCCGCGTTACCGTCTGGGGGCGTTATACCGAGCGCTGCTCCCAGCGTTACCGTCTGGGAGCGTTATACCGAGCGCTGCTCCCAGCGTTACCGTCTGGGGGCGTTATACCGAGCGCTGCTCCCAGTGTTACCGTCTGGGGGCGTTATACCGAGCGCTGCTCCCAGTGTTACCGTCTGGGGGCGTTATACCGAGCGCTGCTCCCAGTGTTACCGTCTGGGAGCGTTATACCGAGCGCTGCTCCCAGTGTGTTATTTACCGTCTGGGGCGTTATACAGCGCCGGCCTCCCCAGCGTTACGATCTGGGGGTATACGGCGCTGCTCCCGGTATTTACCGTCTGGGGGCGTTATACGGCGCCCGCTCACAGCGTTCGTCTGGGGCGTTATACGGCGCTACTCCCAGTGTTACCGTCTAGGCGTTATGCCGGCGCCGCTCCCGATGTGCTGCTACCGTCTGGGGCGTTATGCAGCGCCGCTCCCGATGTTACGTCTGCTGGGGCGTATGCGGCGCTGCTCCCGATGTTGCGATCTGGGGGCGTTACATACGGCGCTGCTTTCCCGTGTGACCGTCTGGGGCGTTATACCCGGCGCTGCTCCCAGTGTTACCGTCTGGGGGCGTTATACCGAGCGCTGCTCCCCGTGTTACCGTCTGGGGGCGTTATACCGAGCGCTGCTCCCCGCGTTACAGTCTGGGGGCGTTATACCGAGCGCTGCTAACCGTCTGGGAGCGTTATATGGAACGCTGCTCCCCGTGTTACTGTCTGGGGGCGTTATACGGAGCGCTGCTCCCTGTCTAACCGTCTGGGGGCGTTATACCGAGCGCTGCTTCCCGTGTTACCGTCTGGG